GTACACTATATGAACACCAAGTTCAGTACACTTCATTATTTACGTACACTATATGAACACCAAGTTCAGTACACTTCATTATTTAAGTACACTATATGAACGCCAAGTTCGAGCTATAAAGTGAGTGCGGCTTCTTTGGGATCTATTTCTGCTAACGGAGCCAAAATAAACGGAACATTTGACCATACTGTGTCTGAAATGTTACTTCCTCTATATTAATTTCAATAAATAATGATCGTTTATAGTATTGTTGTATAAAAGCAGCATCAGCACGGCTGTGATTAGCTACGGTACGGTGCCTACGCCGAATCACGGCCGTACCGATATTCAGTATAAGCTCACTCTTGCTCGTGTGATATTGCTTAAATAACAGCATGTCCCGGAGTGTTTTATTCCTCTTATACCCCAGCGATTATTTCAATTCAGTTAAACAGTGATGCAGTACTTTTTATTTGTTTATCGTTTGCAATGTTGTGGAGTGTCCACGAAACGTTATTTTCTGTTATCACTTGCGAAATTAACAAGACTAAAAACTGCAGCTCGTCATGTTATCGAGAAACCACAGAGACCTCCTTCCTGAAGACTTTTCTGCACCCGAAAACTTGAAGTTGCAGTGTTCCCTCTGACTGCTACAAAGCACTGACACTGGAGACTCCTTCCAAAAGTGTTCTAGTTCTCCTCTCAGTAAACGTCACAGTAATTTAATACAAATTTTAATGACACACGTTTTAACAGCCTGTTTATATAGAGCGTCTGCTAAACAAGTCCATGTGAATAAATTATTAACGAAATGATAACGTCGTTAGAGCATCAGAGCTGTTACAGATGGAAGAGTTCAGCAGCACTGTGCAATGGATTTCTGGGCTGTACAAGAACACAAATTATTTAACCAGCAGTTTGAGAATTTATAGGTCCTTTCTGAAAGGTGCGCGCACACACACACACACACACACACACACACACACACACACACACACACACAGAGAGAGAGAGAACCCCAGCCAGGACAGTAATATACTGTATAAATGCAGTATTTTTTACCTTGAGGTGTAGGAAACTTGCATTTGTAATGTTCTGCCAGAGATTAGGGACTAATCAGATGTAACGCTAAACGGACCAGAAACATTCTAGCTGTAATATACGTCAGTCTAAAGAGCAACGTGAAAGGGAAAGAACGATTACGTTAGTACAATGCCTCCGTAAAGGTTCATTTAGTTTTTCAAAACTTTCTCAGTGTGTAATGCTCCAGAGCGAGTTCGCTAGAAGAGGAAATGCTAATTGGTCGTGCTGTTGTATGAATGAACATAGTGGGAATTCTGCCACACAGGAAGCTGGAGCCAGGCCTGCGTTGCCTCTAATGTAGTTAACATAATGAAAAGCAGGAACGCATTTACTTTCCCTGTAGAGAGTGCTTAAAGCGTAAATCCACAAGCAGCGCTCATGCGCAGAAAGCCGTAAACAAAGACTCCGGAGCGCTGCACCAGTGAGGAAGACCGCCTTTATTGCCGTTTCACACAAACACAAAAACACACACACACACACAAGTGTTTTCAATACAACATAATTCTTCACAAATCCCAGTTTGGAAGGAAGCTGAGGTCAGGACGCAGGGTGAGCTATGGGATTGTGCTGCTGGAACAACCGAGGGTTAAAAGCCTCGCTCAGAAGCCCAACAGTGGCGGCTTGTGCTCAGGGAGCTGAACTCTCAACCTTCTGATCAGGAGCCCACAGCTTATACTACTGCCTATTGTTCTGTCTGCAAATTATTCAAAAGTAGTTTCAGTGTCAATTTTTTTTAAAGGATTTATTATTGATTAACTAGGAGTGGTCATACCTGGCTATACTCACAGGACCTAATTAACAAAATTATGAAATAAAGCTTTCATGTTTAATACACGGCCGAAATCAATATATAATCCTGCGTGTTATCCGTGATGATGCGCAGACCTGCAAACGTTTGACGCATTTTAACATCAAGACTACGCTGCTATGAGTAAGCACTCAAAAGTACACAGAATCTTATCCCCCACCCTCCAATAAACCAGCACATGAGCCAATCAACATGTTAATCTAGACTGATTGACAGTTTTGTAGCTGTTTTGAGCTGTCTGATATTAACTGGCACCTCGGAAGCCCCGCCCCCTTTCCACCATCTCACATTAGTAATCTCTCGTCTCCTCTCGATTTTCCTTGGGAAGCTGCAGCGATGCAGCACCGTTGCTTTCTGTCGAGGTAAATGGAGAGTATTTTGAGTTCATTAATATGACATAAAAGCTATCGGTGTATGGTTAATGTTAAAGAATTATATAGTTTATACAGAATAGGATGTCACAGACAAATCTCGCAAATAGTCAAAAATGCCACTTTCTTGGCTAAAAGAGAAGACTAAAAAATTAAATTTTACACTTTGTTGTTATCCTATTTATCATACTGCAAATAATTTTAATGGTCATGATAATTAGAAAGTGATTAAAAAGCCTTTGCCCTTCACAGACTGGAATGCATCGTAGATCAGGTCAAAGGATTGACCTCATGTAGTGAGAAACTCCGTAGGTGCTTTAGTTACGTCACTGCAATTAAAGCGATATTCACCCAAAAATGATCATTCTGTCATCAATTACTCACCCTCATGTCCAAACCCATAAGACGAGGAAACGCTGCACTGTTTACAGCAGAGGAGGTTTCTAAGGTTCTGGCATCCAGGAAATGCACACTTTAGCACCATTTAAAAAAAATATAAACCAAGACCTAACGCAAAATTAACGTAGAATGTAACGAATGCGGCTTGTGTACAGCGTTCCTCTTCCTCTGCTGTAAAAAAAAAAAACGCAGCGCGCCTGAGAACGAGAACGTCCACTCTCACGTCAACACAACACGCATACGCGTGTCCGAGATCTATGCAGAAGTGAAGATTTTTTGTGAATAAAGACTTCATTTTAGATTTCCGCGCACACACAGCATTTGTGTCGCTTCATAAAATTGGGATTAGACCACTGGAGTCACATGGATGACTTTTACGATGCCTTTATGAACTTTTTGGAGCTTGAAAGTTTTGGTTACATGGACTGTCAGTGGAGGGACAGAGATCTCCCAGGTTTCATGAAAAATATCTTCATTTGTGTTCCGAAGATGAGCGAAAGTCTTATGGGTTTGGAACAACATGAGGGTGAGTAATTGATGACCAGAATTTTCATTTTTGGGGTGAACTAAGCCTTTAGGGTCATTATCGTGCTGTAAAATGAGCACATGTAGCACACGAGGCAGTTGTTTGGACCTGAGCAGTTAGTTGTGCTTCAGAATTCATCCTGCTGGTGAAAGTCGACAGCCACTTCATCAGTAAATGCGTAGATCAGTTCATACAGTTCCACAGATGAGCCTCCGGCTGCACACTTCAATCCCGTTCTAATTATGATCACCTTTTTTTTAGTTTTTTTGTTTTGCTGTTAATAAAACATAATTAGCTGTTAATAAAACATAATTAGCTGTTAATAAAACATAATTAGCTGTTAATAAAACATGGTTTTCGGTGTATTAAATAATGAGCGCCTTATTCGTATGTTTTAACTGTCTGACCATCTACAATACACTGATCATTCTCTGCTTTCCTAACGTGAAACGACAGGCAGCGATATGTTTGAGGTTAAATAATAGCCATGATTGAGCACTACGGTGCTAAAGACGGGTCTTATTTTGGTTCGAATATTTTAACATTTGAAAGAGTATAGTAAAAAAAGTCAGTCATGTATTTACAAAGCACATTTAAAACATCCAAAGCGCTGTGCATAGTTACGACCGCATAATAGCATAGTAAAAACTATAAAAAATAGGTGTAAACAACGAAAGAAATAAAAGCGCATTGGCACAGAAGATCAGAGATACAGGTGGCAGCTAAAGCATTTGGAGAATTTCAAACAAACAGTAAAACTCGAACTGGATCGTGGACAGGAAGCCAGTGCGAGGATGCCGAAACGGGTGATGTGGTCTCTCTTCTGGGTGCCAGAGATAAGCCACAGCCACATTTTGTAGTAATACAGACGATCAACAGATGGCTATCGAGATGAAGTGAATTGCAGGAATCTAAACGAGAGGAGATGAAGCCATGTCTGACATTTTCGAGGTCTTGAAAACAGAGCAATGGCTTGATTTCAGAGATTGCTCTTCACAGCCGAGTTGATTTGCTGATCAAATCTGAGATCGAATAAAACGCAGAGATTCCTATATTTCGTGTATATAATATATAAAGGTGTGTAATGTACAATGGGAAAGGAACTGCTTTTTTTTAGTGATCAGATTGGCTGAATAATTAATAATGAATTACAGTATTTTGCCAGAGTTTAGTCATTATTGTGCTGCTCTACAATAAAGATGATACTCTTTGGGTCTTACGTAGTTTCTTTTTTTTTTTTTGCTTGTTTAAAAAGAGGTGGATTTTGGAGTGTTTTTAATTGGCCGAGTCAGTCAATTGAACTGCTTTTCACTTGATGAAGACAAGACTGAAGGCAGAAAGACCCACAAACACGCAGCAGCAAAGCAAAGGCGTCATTGACAGACAGTCATTTGGATCCAAGTATTTTAAAAAAAAAAATCCTAATATTTATGATTTTGTTTGTCCATTTACTTGTGAGCCTGTGAAAATGGAGGGACTCT